ACACTACTACTACACTACTACTTAATTAAACCTAAACTAAACTAACTAACTAATACTTATAATAACTAAACTAACTAACAACAACAACTACTACGACGCACACACACACACACACACAACATATATATATATATATATATATATATATATATATATATGTGTGTATATATACATATATTGCTGGTGCGTGCATATCGGACTTCCTTCTACTGGTGTCTTGATGCTTAAAAGAAATATAAAGTATATTTTCATTGAAAATAAGTGCTTGTTTCATGACGTTTACCAATACAGATGATTTTTGCACACATTTGGGTCCGTATAATACATAAAGACAGAAGATTACAAACTGATATATGCATTGCATTCGCAAGAAAACTCTTTCGATCTCGCGATTCGCACCTTGTCGTAGAACCATAATACTGCGAGCAGCGGTTTTATCGGCCACCATAACGGTGAAGCCGTCGCCAACGATACCAAGAAGATAATCCATACTTGTAACTTTATGTCTATTCGTAGTACCCGACTACTTTATAGTCTTCGTACGTTGCAAAAGGGTGTTATAGTGAATTCTCTGAGATTTCACTATTTGCAATTGTGCACAGACAAAGTTGACATTTGTTTACGTTTCAGCCGGAGTTGCTGTGAAGGTTAAACTTCGGTACTTTACTTTCAAATTTTTATGTTGAGAAAGTTCGGTCCGGATTTATTTTTTGGTTTTTTTCATAAAAAAAAAATACAAATCTACTTGCCGTCGCTAAAAATACGAATTATGTATTTATACTTATCTCGCACCAAATCGGGAAATCTCATCGAGGAGATTTTGAAATGTGAACGCTCAGCAGCCTATGCCACATACGCGCCACCCGAATTTTCCTACAGCTGAACATCACGTGCACCTATAACTGATGTGGCCCAGAACTCAATGAATTGCTTTAGGTCATACGAATGGGACTTTTGCATTTGTACAACTTCACACTAAAACGCCACAGAAAATTACAAGGCCGCTAGCACACTAAGGGAATCCGTGTTTGCCGATTAAATAGCGTTTTGGCATCGCAATATTAAGTACCAGTTGGAATATACGATTGTGTTCTGGCTCTATCCGATACTCGAGAGTATAAAAAATACAGCAGAAACTATTTGCAACAATTCGGGAATACAAGAGAACAAAAGAATACTTTCAGCATATTTACAATCTTCTCTAGACTGGCAATCCAGCCTTTCGCAGGTTAGCGTGATGCTCAGTTATAAATAAAGTTAAAGAAGAAAGTTTGAATCCAAGAGGGTTCTATTTCATAATGTATTCTGTATTCGACTCGATGATCGTATACTAACAACGTAGTAGTCGTTTGTTAATTTTGTTGGATTCTCTGTGTGATGTATTAGGACCAGTTGTTATGTACCAATTTGTTCCTTGACGGCAGTTCAGCTCAAATTCAGGCTTTGCGTATTGAACTCTCTTTTAATATTATTCAGCACGAGCCCCAGCAGCAATCCGAACATGGTGCAACACGCCACTAGCCACTCGAAGGGTCGTTTGGTCATCAGATCGACCAGCTACTCATGGTGGCAATCAAAGCAGTGCATGAACAAATGAGTATCATGGAAGTAAACTGACTTGTGTGTACATCCGCGTACGTTTAAGAAGATGGAAAAAATAAGGATCAAATAGTTAACAAACGCTCGAATGAGTAGTACCATAATGGATTGAGAAATACAAGTATGTTGTCATGCACACTTTAACAAGTCAACGTCCATCGTACCTCGACCACGTCGTCTTCACTAATATTTATCATCTCGGACTCAAGAATACCATCCAGAATATCGTGTAGAAGTTTGACTTCGGAATCTCCAATCGAATGCATGCGTGCCATGATCTGCAGAATGATGGATAATGCCGAAGACTTACTAAGATGTACTCAACAGATATATATCGACAATCGATTACTAGACTCGTATCACGTCACTACTAGGACTTGCCACTGCTGTGTGATACGCCTATGGCAAACGCCACAATATCTGAACTGCCAGATCTACACGGTTTATGGACTGCAGCCCGGCAGCACCCTACGACCGACAAAACATCATCGAACATAACTGCAGTTGATATACCGAGAAGGGCCATTGTTGTTTTTTTGGGACTCACTAATGGAGGAATACTGACTAAACCTATAGATAGCCATCGTCAGCATATGCGATATGCTGCCGGTAAATTAAACTTCACGCCCAAAGCAACAGATATATGTCTATTGCATTGGCGGAAAAAAACGAACGAAACATTGGCATACCGCTGGAGTGAGTTCGCTAGAGAAGTTGATGAGATAAGGCTTGATCGCAGGCTTAAACTCGCGCAGCGAGAATCCGGCAAGGTGTAGATACACACCTAAAACAGTCAAATAGTGTATCAGTACAAACACTTCAAATGCACGGTATATACATGCATTGAAACCGCTAGCGCAGAGCATTCAATGTAGTCCAGCGTTCTTATGATGCAGCTTATACCAATGTTGCATATACTGGTTTGCAATGAGAAAGGGACCGTATGAATTCAACAATGTAAGAGTATCTTCCATGCCACACAGGCTTCCAAAGACAAGTGCTGAAAAAGATCCGACAGAATAGTGATTCGTCTACTCCATAAACCTATTCTAAATTTTCTACATATGCGCGCTAGGAAGGAGAGTAGTGCGACCTTTCGATGGGAAATGTACACGTCTTGTACAAATTCTTTGCTTTTTATGATTAAATTTCAACACAGTGATGTCTATTGAGTTGGACCAATACGTTGGAAAGTGAGCGACCCCTTGTTTAGATATGTAAAAAAATCACCAACCGATAGTAGCGCAACATTTTTTGACATACCATGCTTCGAAGCCAGCAGTTCGTTTAGTTTCTTATCCAGAACCTTGTTGACGGCCGGTGAATCTATAATCCACTCGATGCGCTCATCTGTGGCACAACAAGCGATTAGTGGTTTTAGGCAAAATCTGATGCATGTTATTGATGTATTGGGCTCAATACGTCATTTGCATCACGATAGTCGCCCTACAACCATTTGAAAAATCCGAGCACGCGCACACCAGATAGATGCTAAACGATATACAGTGCATTGAAAACCCAAAGGAATCTGAGTTGTTCACAAACAGGCATATAATATTCTGAGGATGTGAACATTCTTTAAATGCCCGACATTCGAAGTGTGAAGACTAGTGTTCTGTATTGATCACAGATAAAACCTGAGGTTATAAATCCTCTCTAAAAAGTGTACCCAGAAGGATACTTACCGATATTTAGAGTATCAAGAGACTCATGCAATGCCTTGCGAAGGTATAGAGCAATGCACTCCCGTTTGAAGATGCGGTCGAAAATGGTCGACTTGAGACGAGCCTTGATGTCATCGCCGTGGCGGGGCACAGCTCCACTGATAAGCAGAATAGCGTACGAAAGAGGAAACTATTTAGAATACATACATCAGGTCATCATTTATCAAACGGCAAATTCTCAGCCGAGCTACGAGCCAGAGTTGCGGTGCGATTGGATTGCCAACGCGACTAAGAACGATAGGGTAAAAATTGTTTGTGTAAATTACCGCATTCACGTGCTGAAGTAGATGCATGGCCGGGATGAGGACCTCAATTCCGAGTGATGATATTTTGGACTAGCGTGCAAACGATGCCTATACAGCACATCCGCGTGTTAAGGGTGGAGTCTTTGTACAAAACAGACGAGAGTGTACATGTTTTGCTATCTGACTCCGCACAACCAATCTTTGCAGAGCCACACACCAACATGTCGAACTTTCCAAATGCAATTGCCAGATATGTAAATTTCAGCCCACTTTACCAAAGAGAATTACAGCACTACTCTAACTTCTGACAGCTATTAACGGAGGTTTACAGCGACAAGCAGCTCTGATGCATACTAAAAGGCGTGCGGGCTTTAAAAGTGGATTGCACAATCACATACCAGCTTCGGGCGAAGAGAAGGCGCACAGATAGGCCACTCAAAAGACCCCCAATCACTCCGAACAGACCACAGTACTCAACCGTGGCCCAGAATGTGCCTGAGAGTGAGAGAAGTATGCATGATTTAACGGAATAGTGCGGGTTGGTTCATGCTGATATGGACGAGCATTGCTGATGTGAGAATCTAATAACCCTGGATGCAAGCATAGAGTTATTGTCAGAAATAGAACATTATACGGAAAACAGGTTAAAAAGCAACTCGGTTCCGCCAAGTCGACGATAAAGAATCAGCAGACGATGTTTTGAGCAGAAAAATCCTGTGCCTACTGATGCAGCAACACAGGCGATATACAGAGCCACGGGTAAAGACGAGACCACCTCATTGATACCAACCAAGTTGAGCGACAAGGCGTCGGAAATGAGATACTAGGTACTGCCAGTGATGATCACGTATCAACACTCAGGTGGTGTGGCAAGAAAGGGCAGCACAGAGCTACAAACAAATGTACGCGCGCATGTGTATATAAAATGGATGAGATAATTTATAACCCAATAGTGAGCCTAAGATTCGTCACTTTTACCGTCAGTTTCGTAGAGCATAAAGCCACTAGAGCTATTATGATCTACACACAGCCAAGAAGCTCCCACAGTTTAAATCGAATACGTTGACTTGGATGAGGACTAGTAGCAAATAGCCATTACACATGCTGCTGATAACTTCAGGATCCAATCAAAAGTGCGATAACAACGTGGGAAATACACAGACTTTACAAAAGCCTTGACAAGCACAGTGATACAGGACACATATTTTAATGACACGACCCCGCACAGGAGTGGACGTACTATTATCGTCGAAGGAGAATCCAGCTCCGAGTATTGTAGCGGCGAAGGCAACACACAGAGCGACGGTTGACGGTGACGCTCGTAGGCTAAAATTGCGTCCAAACTGCAGCACAGGAATAGAACACACAGAATGAGTGTAAGATTTCACAATATTATACGGTTACAATACAAATATGAGGCCTATCATTGTAAGTGCAGTGCTAGTATTGGTACACAACCCAACACTCAAAGCACGACTGTCGGGTTGACGCAAGTGCATAACTGTGACACATACCCGGGGAATTCTAATATATTTGTATCTTGATATTTGGCGGTATCCAGATTGTAAACAGTATCAAGCATAAAAATGCAAAGCACACCTATATATATATATCTGTACTGCGCACATACACACTCACTATGCTGAATTTGTCTGTCAGTCTTTACACCAGCGCATTTATAGCGACACCTATAACCGGTGCTACAAGTGATTGGGTTCTCATTTTGTACAGTGATATCTAGTATACGACCACAATAAAGAGAAAACTAAACAAATATACGGACCAACACGCGCAATGTGCACATACACACATACGAACTCACCACTCGGAACTTGTCAGCAAGCCTTAACACCAGCGCATTAGAGCGACGCCTATACCGGTTGCTGCGGGTGTGTGAGTATTCGTGGAAGTAGCTGCCATCGCTCTGGTACAAGCCACGGCCACCCCCGCCATGTACAGTCTCATTGCCCACTGAAGACAGGGACGTGTATTGGTGGAGCTCTATACCCAGCAGGCTGTGTGCGTAGATGATTAGAAGAGTTGTTATCCGTGTGAGATGTAATTTTAAGATATTCATATAACGGCCTTATAAATATATATAGGTGTTTCTCATCTCCCGCCCAACCTCCCTTGATTGCAATCGTTGCCCCCAGAGGTTAGGATTGCGTTTAGGTGGGGGCTTATATACACTGCAGGCTGCGTGCGTGGATGACAAGACGAACCAGTGCGACTGAGATAGTCATATACTAGTTGAAGACCGGGTTGTAGCACACTCAGAATCTTGAACTATGATATAGGTGATACATAGCTATAGTATCAATGCTCCCATGACCGCTCATGTAGACGGGCACGCAGACCTATATTAGATCAAACAGTCAAGTGTGCCACGTATAAAGAGCTTGGGACTACACTGTAGATGTATGACATAGTAGCTGAGGACATACAGTGGCACAGTTTTCTTAAGCGGAGGTAATTTAAAGTACCTGAACAGAACACGTTGGACCTATAGGAGTGTATTTGACGGTGAACTAAGAGATGTACTTTGGTTCACATCAAGCGCAGTTGTAGACAATACAAGGTACCATATCGTATTTGCGATACTCTACCCAGGATCAACCACTACTCTGGCGGGCTGACAAATCGTTACAAGTATTGTATTCCATCTGATTTTAACTAACAGACCGTAGCATACTGCAGTACAGTGCTGTCACACTGAAAAACACCTCTAACTAATTATAACACCTACAGTCCTCAAACTAAAACGTAGCTTTGACTCTCTTGATCCAATATCATTTAACATCTTAACTTAATTGACATGTCGTAGCAGGCTTCACTGCAACCCCCTCAGTCGCACTGGACATACAACCTGTGACCAGTTGTGACATACACATTTGCACTAAATAACACATACTTGTCCCATTACAACACTGACAGTCGAACGAAACAGCACATCAGTGACTTTCATGATAACATCATATAGTATCCAAACTTGGTTGACATATTACAGCACAATTTACTGCAACACTGACAGTTGCTTACTGCAACATTGACAGAAGCATTGAACAAAGGCCTCCGACCTAATATAACACCCACAGACACACGACACAACACACCTCTGACTCTCTTCATCCGACATCATATAGTGGAAAGTGAGGTTGCCTTATCGACGTCATAGTAGATGCCATAGAGTTGATGGGGGTCTGCGGCACCCTGACAGCATGCGTGTGAAATGCACCTATAGTTCAAATCCTACGTATTAGCACATTGAATCCAAATTTTACTATACTAAATCCCTAGCCACCACAGAAGGATACTCAAGCACAGACGCACAGTCTGCACTGAGCTTGTTGCGGTGCACACTGCACTCCCAGAGACACTGAGAAACCAGTATACAATATGCCGACGATTCAATGCGTTTACATACACTGCGGTGTAGTAGTATTCCATCATAATAATAAATACATGTACATAAATAAATTTTGTAAATATATTATATAATACCGGCGATCTATCAGCCCTATCTTGGACACTCGCGGCGATATTCAGAAATGACACTACGAAGTGTCACGCTCATCTTTCCACTATTGAAAATTTGGCTCTATATGTTCGTGCTCTCACTATATTGAACGTATATTTATACGCTGCTATGTGAATATTGAGCATATAAAATAGACTTGGTGTTGGGAGTTATGTGTGGTCCGGAATCACATGTAATTGAATACATACATTTCAAATATGAAGTTTTGCAACCGGGGGTCTGGTATAACCCGCGAGGATGACACGCGCCTTAGTCTAGTATTGGGCAGGATGAACAAAGCATATGCACAACTGCTACCCTGCAATATTCCGGAATCAATGGTTCTATTTCTACAGAACAGCCAAGTTTTGTAAGTATTAATACACCACTTTATCAATCTATCTGACTTTGTTCACAGGTGAACACTGCGAGTACAAGGAGCTTATAAAAAATGTACTTGAACGCAGTTGCATATTGAGCTTCTCTTCGAAACGTTAATGCACAATGAGTTGAACATTCGATAGCGCGCGTGCAAGTCCACCTTAGAGTTATCCGCTTTATAAAGATCCGTATTGAATTTGTTCATGATAAATATGACAAGATGTGCATTAATTTTCATATCCATTAATATTAAATTACTGTCATACGCTATGACTGAAATCCTCATGTTGTTAGTATACTAGAATATATAT